CCTCGGAATAACATGAGCGCTATATGGAGAGGCATTGCTTACAACTCAAGCAGTGAAGTAGCAACTGCGAGACATTTTACCACGTCTATGTTCTCCCAGCTTTGTACTGCATCTCTTAATGGTTTTTATTCCAGTCCGTCAAACAATTGTCGTCTCTAGAACTGTCTAACGTAGGACCTCTGCTACCTGATATGTCTGCGCAGCATCTAATTCCTAAAGTGTACTCTTCTGTGATATCAAGCCTAATCTATGTTTGCGTTCCCCTGCTGCAAGACGAATTACTCGCTAATACGCTTTTCTTATATGCTGTTGCTCCTTGGTTCGAATTGAAATGAGTCAACTGTGGATATTTTTTCGCCCCGAGTTTTTGTACATCCGTAGTGTAGATCTGTAACGGTGCAGTTGATGTTTGATAGAAAATGTCTGGTTGCTGTTTAAATTGTTTAGTGTATCTGATTAATGCCCTTAGTGACAATACAAGATAGAGAAGGTCGTTTCAGCCCCTCATTAATTGATCACCTTTTTTGTTTTAGAGCGGCGCGAGTTTGTTTGCGAATTTTGCGGAAAGGCCTTCGGCAAGAGGTCAAACATGAAAGCGCATATTCGAACTGTCCACGAAAGCGCGTTTGATTATTGAGGAATTTTCGATTAATTTTTATTATTACAGTAGTCTTATACTGGTAGTATGCATTTCCCTATACATTTTAATATTCGTATAACATGGCAAACAGGCATCACGTTCGTGGCTTAATGGTTAGTGTATGGTTGGCTGATGATGGTTTATAAGCCCGAAACGGCCATTCCACTGAAATCTTAGTGACCTGCAATTATCTTTCAATTAGAGGAAGTATATAAAATTTACCGTTTCCGTTAGCCGTTTTACTTGCTTATTTCAACATACTGCATTGTTTCCCTTACACACAAATCTGCAGTTCCGGTCGATAGCTCTTCGCACGTTCAAAGTGTAGCCCATGTCCTCATTCGCTTACCCAATAATCTTGTTGTTAGTTTCAAATACACAGGCTTCCACGAATGTAACGATATGCATTTCGGCAGCCTTCTCAGTTTGCATTCTAATAGGCATAAAGCTTTTTCGACAATCGCCTCTAGATGAATTAATCGTTTTCAGCATCCCCCAAATAAGACGAAGTAGAACCTGCAAGGGCATGAGCCTAATTATATTTGGACTGACGCTTCGGACACTCGCTTGCTTTTATCGTCAGAGTAACGTCATGATTTTTTGTGTTTGCTGGATCTGTTTCAGCCTTGCTGCATTCTTGGTATTATATCCGTGTTTGATACATGAACTTTGACCTGCTCATGCGCTGGTGACTGACCGTAAGATTGACCATTGGTGGGTTTGTGTGACCTCTTTCACCCTTGCGGCTGTCGCAATTGTTGGCAAGGCAGTGTGCTTTCCGTCCTGTCCCTTGTCCGCCGACGGACTTATCACTCGTTGCTGCCCACATTTTCGATAGTTGCCCACAGATGAATGTATTGCTTTCACTATCCCCGTGAGAAGAGGAAGAAGAAGGTACGAGGATACTGACCATTTTATGTTGTGACTGACCTTTCGGACACTCGCTTGTGATTGTTCGTGTTTGCCGGATCTGTTTCAGGCTTGCTGCATTCTTGGTATTTTATCCGTGCTCGAAGCACTAACTTTGACCTGCGTGAGCTTATGTCAATCTCGTGAGCGTGGTGGTCACGTGGTTCCTGGCCGGCTTCTCTCCTATTTTCCTCTGATCTCAGTTGTACTCCACGCTTGGATTTGCTTTGCCCTCCTGTTGGCCTTGTTCGAATTGACTCGCCTGGTAGGTAGGATGAAGACCAGTGGCTCCGTTAAGTGTGCCAGTCGAAGGCCAACTTTCTGGCAGGAGTCTAGTCATCTTGTCATTGGCTCGGCCTATTACTCTTGCTTTATCGAAGGTGAAAATGTGGTTCTTCTGCTGTACGTGTTCGAGGACCATAGACAACTTATCCTTGCGGTTGATTGTGAGCTAATGCTCATGCAACCTTGTGCAAATGCGTTTGCCCGTTTCATCAACATACCTTGCATTGCAGTTTTGACATGGTATGCTGTTCACCACGACTGACTGAATGGCCGAGCATGCAGTGGCGGTGATGAAGAAAGACGCCAACTCCCAGGCTGCAGCTCACTCGACGGGACTCGGCCATATTTTCAAATTTGACAAGGCCAAAATCCTCGCAAGAGGTGACAACCACGTGAGCCGTCAGCTGCTGGAGTGTTCTCAGGCCCCCAGTCCATCAACAAGCGCAACGATTTGGCGTTCCCATACTTTCTCAGCCCCCCAGTCCATCAACAAGCGCAACGATTTGGCGTTCCCATACGTTGTACTGAGAAGTTTCTTGAGCAAGAGAATCAGTCACGTGGGAAAGGCCGGACACAGCAACAACTCTGAACACAACGAGCATCATTTTCGTGCAGTTATCAGGCCCGCATCCGACGCTGTCAACGCAATTGTAGCAATTTGTGAGTCAAACGCGATTTGTCAAGCCAATATCGCATCAATTAAAACCCAAGCAGCGGCTATAGAAGTGGATAATTATCGTACGCACGCAGATGACCACTATGAACTATAAATACCGTGCAACCTGTGCATGTTTCACCCGTACCTGTGCATGACTATGAATATACTACCATTACTTGTGATTAAGGATTCCCGACGAAATACGAAATGTCAGGCAAATAAAACTCTTGTTCTAGTGGTTGCATCCATTTCTACTGACTGGTCTGTCGATTATAACTGATCTTTGGATCTCATGATCTGCTGTCTGATGGTTTATTCCGGCTTGTGAGCCACGCGGATCCCAAATGGCCACATAATTCTTGCAGT